TGAAATGGACGTCACGTCAGGTTACAACGTAAGTCAACGGGAAAAATATTATTTTGACCATATTACTGAATTTATGAAAAAAGAAGAAAAGCATGCCTAGAGATATTGACGTTAGGGTTTACATGACATTAATTTAAATGATTTTACTATTATATTAAATAAACAAGAGGGCCATGATGGCCCTGAAGTCGCTCACCTGTATATAGGCCCCCGGAGCGGGCCAGTTTAAACCTCAGGGCTTTTATTTGATCAAACTTGGTAGACACCCATTAGAAGATGTTTAACATCTAATGTCTAGCTCGTTGGGTTTTTTAAAAGAAGTTTTTTTCAAGTTTTTTCTTTACACATATAGTTAAAAACAATGACACACCTGGGGCAGGGCCAGTTTTGTCCCAATGGCTTTTATTTGAACAATCCTTGTAGACACTTACTAGCAAATGTTTCATGCTTAATATCTAAACTCTAGCTATTTGGGTTTTTTTCAAAGAAGATTTTTAAGTTTTTGCTATACACTGTATGATATAAGGAAAATCAATGTCCCCCGGGGCGGGGCCAATTTTGACACAGGGCTTTTATTTGAATAAACTTTGTAGACACTCACTAGAAGATGCTTCATGCTTAATATCTAAACTCTAGCTATTTGAGTTTTTACAAAGAAGATTTTTTAGGTTTTTGTTATACACATATAAGGAAAATGAATGACCCCCGGGGCGGGCCAATTTTGACCCCAGAGCCTTTATTTGAACAAACTTGGTAGACACACTCGAGAAGATGTTTCAAGCTTAGTATCTAAACCTTAGCTATTTGTTTTTTTTTTTCAAAAGAGATATTTTTAAGTTTTTGCTATACACATATAAGGAAAATCAATGACCCCCGGGGCGGGGCCAAATTTGACCTCAGGGCTTTTATTTAAACAAACTTGGTAGACATCCATTAGAACATGTTTCATGCTAAATATCTTAGCTCTAGCTCTTTGGGTTCTTTAAAAGAAGTTTTTTAAGTTATTTCTATATGCATATAGGGAAAATCAATGACCCCCTGGAGCGGGGCCAATTTTGACCCCAGGGCTTTTATTTGAACAAACTTGGTAGACATTCATTAGAAGATGTTTTATGCTAAATATCTTAGCTCTAGCTCTTATGGTTCTTTAGAAGAAGATTTTTAAAGTTTTTACTAGATGCATATAGGGAAAATCAATGACCGGGGCGGGGCCAATTTTGACCCCAGGGCTGTTATTTGAACAAACTTGGTAGACACTCACTAGAAGATGTTTCATGCCAATTATCTAAGCTCTAGCTTTTTGTTTTTTTTAGAAGATATTTAAAGTTTTTTCTTTGGTTGCCATGGCAACCAGAGTTCTGCATGGAATTAAATGCTTTGAACAATTTTCAAAGGTGACCACCAACGGAACATTCCTGTGAAGTTAAGATGAAATTGGCTTGGTGGTTTATGAGGAGATGTCATTTAAAGTAAAAGTTTACGGACGACGGACGACTGACGACGGACGGACGCCGAACGATAAGCGATCACAAAAGCTCACCGTGTCACTTTGTGACAGGTTAGCTAAAAATGGAATATTCAAATTTGATGGGACAGACTATAGTTGTGACTTTGTCCCAACTAAAAACCGGTGTTAATCTGCCAAAAAGGTCTGGTTAGGGACTACTTTTATATGCGGCTGTTATGAGTTCTTACTCGATTATATAGTTTACAAAGCCTTTAAAGCATCGATAAAAACATTTTTAGTACAGTCATGTCCGGTCATCTTGCGCGGCCGATGACCTTGCGCACTCGGCACCGGAAGTATATTTCCTTTTGTTTGGTTGTTTGTTTATGCTTTTTCTAGAAATTTTCAGCCAAAACTTGTGACTTGGACTTAAACAAGGTAAGAAACTTTAAAAAAAATCTGTCAAACATGTTTGTTTACATTATTCCGTCATCCTTATTATTTATTCATAAACACGCCCACTGACCTATTTTCCCATGATATTCCTGTCTATTCATCCAGTTTCAAAATTTTACGTCCAGCAAGAATGAAAATCAATATCACACATTTAAAAATAGTATTGCACTGATAAAACGTTGTAAATTTCCTTTTTTCCCTTTTGCAAATAAAGGTGCATTGGGTTGTTTTCTCCTGCCTGTCAAAATGGAAAGCCCCTCCCGCGCTTTTCAATTCTTTTTCTACTCAAGCGTAAAAGGTAAGAGCATTAAATTTGTTAACTGGGAGTGTTGTACTGTGTGTAGTCAATGGGTGCATCTGAAATTATGTACAGAAATTGAGACATTGACTGGTAGTGATGATTCCAGGTGTCCAAGGTGTAGTAGTGAACAGTAAAATAACAAACCCTTGATGTAAATAAGTTTGTGTTAAGTTTTGTTTGAAGAGTTTGAACAGTTTAAATTAACTGTTCATTCCTTGGACTCACAAAATTTATATTGATAGTACTACTTGGACACTATACTTTCAAAACGAGCTACCGTGACGTAATTCATAACACATGCGCAAGATCACCGGACAATTGAATGTTGGGATTAAACATGGTGGTAAGTGTTTACATTGTTGCACTTATGCAGTTCATTGAGTTATTTCCAAAAAATATTGGTGTCATTATATGTCTTTAAGATTTTTGTAAATAGGAAAATAATTGTGATTTTTTTGTATTTATTTGAATCATAGTAAAATAGCCGATAAGTGCTTAGGTGCGCCAGATTACCGGACAGCATCGTAATTATTTTTTTACATACAATACTAAAATAATATCTCACATACACTAACGCCACAGATTTGATCCATATCAGTTAATAAATATTTTGACATACGGCGCCAATTCGTAAGCAGTGTAATGACGTCATCCTATGTAAACAACACATTCATAAACGGGCTAGAATAACGTTATTTCAAACAAGAACATTATGAATTAAACACTGATGTTAACACAATTCAATCTAGTATGCGACGTAAGTTTTTATTTTTGAAAACTTGATAAAATAACTTTTTTTTCTTATTATTTTTTTTGTTAAATAATTTCTATATCTTAACAACAATAGGGTGCAAAATCGAACAGCGTTATGCAAAAATTGGCACCGGAAGTAATCTTCGCTTGAAAAAAATTAAAGTAGATCACTTATTTTATCTTGTTAGAATCGAAATTACCAGCTTGATTGAGTTTTGATGCGTAGTTAATTTTTTTCACATCAAAACGATGAGAAAGTAAGATTTAGCCATGCAATAGAGAAAAACAGAATTCAAAACAGCAAGCGTGTTGCAAGTTTGATTGGAAGAAGGTGTTTAGTGTATTTAGGTGCTAGGGGGCGTGAGAGATGTTGCACGTATTCATTATCCCTTATGTACAGACTCAATCAAACCGAGTCTGCAATTCTCTTGTAATTTGATGTGATTAATGCTTCCGATGGATCATTTCTTTTCCAGATTTTTATACTTCACAACAGCAGGTCTCAAGTGCTGTGTGGCAGCTGTAAAAAGTTCGGGCAACTTTTTATCCCTAATGTACAGACACAATCAAACCGAGTACGGGGCGTACTTCACTTCAGTATTGTTATATTTTTCTGGTCCTTCGGGATCATTGTCATTTGATGCCAGCACTATTAAGTGTTGAAAATTGAGGTACCGCTCAAGCCGGTGCAAGGGGTCGTGAGGGATGTTGCACGTATTCATTATCCCTCTTGTACAGACTCAATCAAACCGAGTCTGTAATTCTCTTGTAATTTTGTTGTGATAAATGCTTCCGAGTTATCACTTCGTTTCCAGATTTTTCTACCATCTACGTCAAATAACCCCTATCCACACCCTTTAATCAAAATGGTATTCAGCTTTTCTTGATGTTGATGTTCTCGTGAAGCACAATTCACAGTAGTATAATCAAATTAAGAATGTATATTCTGATTTAAATGTCCATCAACCGAATTCCCTTTCTGTTTGAATGAACTTTATAAAGCAAAGGCGTCACATTGTATTTTCATTCAGAAGCTCTTTTATTTTCACCTTTTATTGCAAATTTACAACAGAAAAATTATGTTTTCTATTGTCTTTTTACGACTATTATTTCTATTTTTATTTTATTAGCACAACGTTACTGTCAGTACGTTTGACAATCTAAACCCTGTTTTTTCATTTATGACTTAAAAGAAATAGAATTTCACAAATCACAATGATAATTAAAGTGTATAAAGCTATGTTTAGATCTGCTGCAAAAGTTGCTGTTTGAATAAAAAAGAAAAACTTCCAAAAATGCTTGTATGAAATGCTTATATGAAATAAATATGTTAGTAAATATATTTAAAAGCAAATAACGTATTATGAAATCACTGCTATTACATAGTTTGTTCTGCAATATTTTATTCTGTTTTATTCAGGAGTATCCAATTACAGGGACATTCTGTGTTAAAAACTCTTTCAAGAATCGACCAAAAGATTGTGAAACAAGAGGGCCATGATGGCCCTGAGGTCGCTCACCTGTATATAGCCCCCCCACCCCCGGGCCAATTTTTTACCCAAGGGCTTTTATTTGTTTATTTGAACAGACTTGGTAAACACCCATAAGAAGATGTTTCATGCTAAACATCTAAGTTCTAGCTCATTGGGTTTTTTAAAAGAAGATTTTTAAAGTTTTTACCATACACATATAGTTAAAAACAATGACACCCCTGGGGCAGGGCCAGTTTTGACCCCCGGGCTTTTATTTGAACAAACTTTGTAGATATTTACTTAAAGATGTTTCATGCTTAATTATCTAAACTCTAGCTATTTGGGTTTTTTCAAAGAAGATTTTTAAGTTTTTGCTATACACATGTAAGGAAAATCAATGACCCCCCGGGCGGGGCCAGTTTTGACCCCAGGGCTTTTATTTGAACATACTTGGTAGACACCCATTAGAACATGTTTCATGCTAAATATCTTAGCTCTAGCTCTTTGAGTTCTTTAAATGAAGATTTTTTAAGTTTTCACTATATGTATATAGGGAAAATCAATGACCCCCTGGGGCGGGGCCAATTTTGACCCCAGGGCTTTTATTTGAACAAACTTGGTAGACACTCATTAGAAGATGTTTCATGCTAAATATCTTAGCTCTAGCTCTTTGGGTTCTTTAAAAGAAGATTTTTAAGTTTTTACTATATGCATATAGGGAAAATCTATGACCCCCTAGGGCGGGGTCAATTTTGACCCCAGGGCTTTTATTTGAACAAACTTGGTAGACACTCACTAGAAGATGTTTCATGCCAAATATCTAAGCTCTAGCTCTTATGGTTCTTTAAAAGAAGATTTTTTAAGTTTTTAGTATATGGATATAGGGAAAATCAATGACCCCCCGGGGTGGGGCCAATTTTGACCACAGGGCTTTTATTTGAACAAACTTGGTAGACACTCACTAGAAGATGTTTCATGCTTAATATCTTAGCTCTAGCTCTTTGGGTTCTTTAAAAGAAGATTTTTTAAGTTTCTACTATATGCATATAGGGAAAATCAATGACCCCCTGGGGTGGGGCCAATTTTGACCCCAGGGCTTTTATTTGAACAAACTTGGTAGACATTCACTAGAAGATGTTTCATGCTAAATATCTAAGCTCTAGCTCTTACGGTTTTTTAAAAGAAGATTTTTAAGTTTTTTCTATATGCATATAGGGAAAATCAATGACCCCCCGGGGCGGGGCCAATTTTGACCTCAGGGCTTTTATTTGAACACACTTGGTAGACACTCACTAGAAGATGTTTCATGCCAAATATCTTAGCTCTAGCTCTTTGGGTTCTTTAAAAGAAGATTTTTTAAGTTTTTACTATATGCATATAGGTAAAATCAATGACCCCCTGGGGCGGGGCCAATTTTGACCCCAGGGCTTTTATTTGAACAAACTTGGTAGACATTCACTAGAAGATGTTTCATGCCAAATATCTAAGCTCTAGCTCTTAAGGTTGTTTAAAAGAAGATATTTAAATATTTTTCTTTTGGTTGCCATGGCAACGAGAGTTCTGCATGGAATTAAATTCTTTGAACAATTTTTAAAGGTGACCACCAAAGGAACATTCCTGTGAAGTTTGGATGAAATTGGCTCAGTGGTTTATGAGGAGATGTCATTTAAAGCAAAAGTTTACGGACGACGGACGGACGGACGCCGGACGAAAAGCGACCACAAAAGCTCACCCTGTCACTTTGTGACAGGTGAGCTAAAAAATGTATATAAATTATTATTTAAATTTTGATAAATGTTATAAAAATATTTCATGAAATATAGCTTTATACCCTTTAAGGGGTAAACTGAATATGGTGAAAATATGGTTTGAATAATAACTAATGACTTTTAAAATAAGTGAAAACTCAAAGTATGTTTGTATTTTTTTGTAAAGATAACCATTTAATCTATGAAAGTTCATTTCAACCATGGGCTTTTTTGTATAAAAACAATGACAACAATCCAGAGATAATGAAATGACATGCCCTTTCAAAATAAAGCTATCTTGTTGCCGACCTACATTTCCTTTTTTAGCAAATGACTGACAGATTTGCTAAAGTTATTACTGAATTTGCTATGTAATAATATATAATCTAGCATCGCCTTTCACATGGACCCCTACAGATCATTGACAACAGTGCAAACGACTTTTATCTAAAGGCTCGATTTGATTTCATTAAGATTGAAAACTGATAAAGTGGTACAATGTATTTAGTTGCCAAGTTTACTGTTTCTCATGGCCAGTCACAATCCAATATGTATGTGCATTTTCATCCATTTGTTTTGGGTGTTTTTTTTGTGCATTACTCTTAACTTAAAGACCCCCTATTTTACAGCGGCAAAAAATGAATATGTAAAAGTAGAGCAGATAATGTTTTTAAGCTTTGCATGGTAAAATGGATTTTATTGAAGAAAAAAATGATAAAAACAACGAAGTTCACTATCCTACTTGTTAACCTTTCTAATTAAAGTGCTCTTTTAAAAACTTTTCTTTGGGAATTAACTAAAAACTGCCAAAATTTGCTAAAATTCTATGAGAAAGATTATATTATATCGTCGATTAAGTGAAATGATTTAAAATTTAATCGATTTATGTCCATGTCTCTTTCTTGGATAGATCTGTATTAAACGTTGCATGACGACTGAAAGTGAAGTAACAATAAAAAATGAAAGAAAGAAAAGTATCGGCATGTTGCACGGTGAAAATTTCTGCAAATATAATGCATTAAAAAGGTCCCGATGGTTTAACTTAATGCACAGTTTTTACCCCAGTACAATAAAAATAAATATATCAACATATCGACATATTGCCTGAATAAAATTGATATAAAAACAAACAGAACAATAACGCGGGGCTAACTTGCACTCGGCTCGATTTAGCGGAGGTGGTAGTATTTGTCGTTGTAGTATAATCAGCTGTAGTAGTTGGGGTACAGGTTTGGCAACATTTCGAAAAATCATTGGTGCAATGACTCTGAGTACAGTCAGTATATTCATCACCCCAAGGACAACCTGAAATAAACAGTAGTCAACAAAACATAATAGCTTGATTTACCTATAATATCTTTTTAAACTCTATAGCAATTTTCAATAACATTAGTTTACATTTCACTTGTAAAGTTTATTTATAACTTGTATTAGGATGGCATTAGGATGTGATAAATAGAGGATATTTGCTGAGTGTAAGTTCAATACTGAATTTATCGAACGAGTTGAATAAATACGAGTTGAATCCGAGCATATATTTTGATGTGACGATTGTAAGATCTGCTTACATGTATTTGCGTTTAGATTATGTATTGTAATCTTTTTTTCTTCTTTTTTTTTGTGAACAAGGAGCTTTGCTCAAGTCCGAAAAATATAGATAAAATTAACATTTTGTTCTGTAACGTTTATTTATATTGAATGATTATACGAGAATATTTACATTACCTTAAATGAGAGGACACAAATAAGGATATATTTATTTCATGCTTTCCAGTGTTTTATTGTAATATATCATATGATTATATTCTGATAAACCACTAGTGAAATTTATAAAATATAATTTTCACTGTAGCCGGACTATACTAGTATCTGAATGCGGATGAAAAGAAAATCATAACTAAAGGGAATAACAGGCAGAAATAAATGCCGTCATACGTAAATTTTGCTTCTTTAGGAAAAGAAAGTCGATGTCACCATACACCATGTTAAAAATGTAACAACATTAGAGAAATGTAACAGAACTATATTTCAAAATTGATGATGTGACGTCATGATGTGATGACGTTACAAAGGAGAAAGTGCGACGTTACGCGGCAAAATCAGTAAAAAATACTAAAAATCACTTAAAAAGCATGAAATAAAAAGAAAATTTATTTGTTTTACTTATAATATTGAAATATATTTCATTCGTGGAGACCAGCCAATATATTTTCACTCGTGGCTACGCCACTCGTGAAAATATTGCATCTGGTGTTCACTCAGTGAAATTATATTTCAATCTTACATGCAAAACAAACAACTATCCTCTATGTAATTATTTCTAATGGTTAACATGTGCAAATATTTTGACGTGACGTCATTTTCATTACATAATCATAGAGTTATGACGCGCAATAAAACGTTAGCGTTTTACTAATATAGGCCTGTCAAAGAAAACTGATTCTTTTTCACTCCGAACGATCTTTATTTTTGGTATATGATAAATAGAATATTAAATTCGTGTAAGTTCATTACTTAATCTATTGAACTCATTGAATAAAATAATGTTAATAAAATAACATAATGCTTGCCAGAGGCTATTTTAATATATAGAGGATATTCAAGTTTTTTTTTCTATAGAAACAGGAGTGTTATGAAAATAAAAATTTCCTCAGTTCCGGTAGCCAAGAGTGAAATATGATAATTATTTCCGTGAACATGAGAATTCCATATGTCACTCGAGGCTGCGCCAACCGTGAAATATACCTTTTGGTTCTTATTCGGTGACATATATTCAGATCTAACATTGAACTAAACAAAGGTTCTTTTTATTATATGCAAAGAAACGTTTAAAAAGACATTTTAACCTAATGGTAAATGGAAAGTGTGCCAAATAATAATACAACGTGACGTCATTTACGACATCACGTCAGTAAATTTGTTTTCCTCCCACAAGATGAAAATAAATCCTTTATTTATAGGAAAAACTTGAATTATCTGTTTATAATATACATTTTGCTCTTGTGACATTACAATTTGAAAGACTTTCCCTTGAATTTTGTAATCTGACAGAATTTAGAAAAAAAAACGTGTTTTAGCAAGACACCAGTGAAAAAAACGGAACATTTCTTCACAGTGAAACATTTTTTTTTCACAGTGAAAGTATGGAAAATGAAAGACACATTTTATTTCATCAATATTTCTCAATATTCTCAAGTATATAATAAAATTTTATACAACTCGTTCAATAAATTCAGTATTAAACTTACACTTATTCAATTTGATGTTTACAATACGAAGAATGCTGTCACAACACGTCACCTTAGTGAAGCAGGAGGTTAACTTTCTTTTAACATCAATTGGAGTTAATCAGTTTCAGCACTAATGTGATGAAACGTTGTGTCAAGTGTTTGAAACTGTTTTTAGAGATTGTGTTATCCTCATTTTTAGAAAGTTTCAAACACTACTGTTGATTGAGGAACTTTGCAATAACTTTTATAAAGACAAGTATCCTATTAATTACAGACATCTTAACATAGCTTAAAACAGTACGTTATAGAAACATTTAGAAAGGTTAAACGTAAATGCAAAATTGGGAAGAAGTAAATTTGTTTTACCTGGAATATCTAATCGTATATCTTGGCATGTTTTACAGCAAGTTTCAAGGTTATTTTGACACAGTTGTAATGTCATTCCTACACAATATGACTGTTTATCTCCATAGTCACAATCTAAAAAGAAATAGAGGATATTAAATTAGACTTAGTGTAGTTTAATACTAAATAAATTGAACGAGTTGAATAAAATCATGTTATGCGAGCCTCTGGCGAGCAAAATATTGTTTTATTCAACGAGTTCAATAAATTTAGTATTGAATCTACACGAATGTAATATTCACATATATAAAATAAGATCAGTAAATTGTTAAAATGAGTATTTTTTTTAATTACTCGCCTATAGTGCAACGCTAAAATTTGCGCGCCTTTAATAACGCTATGTTTCTATATAGCGCAAATGACGTCACGTTAAAGTGTTATTACACTAAGTGTAATATCGTTTTTATTAAATAGAGGATATTTGTTTAGTTCAGTGTAAGATCGGAATATATTTCACGGAGTGAGCACCAAAAGGTATATTTCACGAGTGGCTCACGAGGTGAAATATATTTCGATCTTACATAAAACTAAACAAATTGTTTTTTTATTTTATGCAAAGAAACGTTTAAAAAAACATTTTTACCCTGGACTAAATGAATAGGGCGCCAAATGATAATGCAACGAGACATCGTTTATACGACGGCACTCATTAAGTTGGTTTCCAGTACTGTGAATGCTTGTATTTCACTGAAACATTGTAACGGGCTCAAATATTCAAAACAGTGAAATTATCAAATTGGTAATTTCACTGTTTAAAACAGTGAAATTATCAGTTTTTTATTTCACTGATATATTTCTATAAACCACCGAAAAGCATGTAATAAATGGCTTTATCACACACCCGTGCCGGTTTTGCGACTCCGTAAATATGGTATTGCACGGCCGTGCATATATTTTGACGTGACGTCATTAGCGTTATACAAACATAGTGTAAAGACGCGCTAAATGTTAGCGTTATACTATAGGCGCATCAATGAAATATGACTCTTATTTCACCTTAAACGGTCTTTATTTTTTGTATGTATTGTTTGTTTTGTATGTGTTTGTATGAAAATAAATATTTCATGATTGGCGATACCTACGAGTGAAATATAATAATTTTCATACCACAAGATGAAAATAAATCCTTTTTTTTATAGAAAAAACTTGAATTTTCTGTTGAATATATACAGTTTTCTTTTCTTAACATTACAATTGATAGATTTTCCCTTGAATTTTTTTATTGGCTGAATTTAGAAGAAAGAAGTTCGGCAAGAAACCAGTGAAAATACGGAAAATATATTTCACTGCAGTGAAAAATAAAAATTTTACAGAGAAAATACGGAAAATGAAAATACTCATTTTATTTTAACAATATTGCTCAATATTTCATTTATAAGTATATAATAAATAGAGGATATTGAATGAGTGTAAGTTCAATACTGAATTTATTGCACGAGTTGAATAAAATTATATTATTTTATTCAACGAGTGCAATAAATTTAGTAATGAACTTACACGAATTTAATATTCTATTTACACATACCCAAAATAAAGACTGTTTAAAGTGAAATAAGAGTCATTTTTCATTGACGCGCCAATAGTATAACTTTAACAGTCGCAAAATCGGCACGGGTGTGTGATAAATTTCAATCTTATATGCAATATATATTTATTTTAAGGTACTTCTTCCGCCTTCATATTTATATTTCATATTTATTTTTTAAAAATATGAAATATATTTGACTGATATAGCACCATATTTCATGGGTAAAATTAAATAATAAGAGGATATTTTTTTATTTGAGTGAAATATGGAATATATTTTCACGAAACATGAAAAAATACCACATATTTTACGAGCCGGGACAGCGAGTAAAAATGTGTGACACTTTATCATGTTGAGTGAAAATATAATAATACCATATTTAACGAAAAACAAAAAAAATAACCTTTTTATTTAATTTCATTATCAAAGAAAAATGGTTAAAAATCCCCTTGCTTGCTACGCACCTGCAATTGTACAGCGCGCAGTAATATATTAAATCTTAATTACGCGCGATGTTTGGTTGCTACATTGTGACGTCACGTAAACAACTATTTAAACGTCTGCACAACGTTAATGACTGAATTAAAGATATTGGTGTTCGATTCATTTTCTTAGTGATACCATTTTCTATCATTCTAGATATTTTGTAGAACAAAATTTTTTATTTATCAGATTTTTTAAACAAAATGTCGAAAGAAGTCCCTTTAGAAAACATGAGTTTTGGCTCCGGCCACTATCATATTTATATTTCATACTTATTTTTTACAAATTTGACTAATATAGCACCATATTTCATGTGTAAAATAAAATAATATTTCGGTATTGTTTGTAAAGAAAACATTATAAGAACTGACAAGAAAAGCATTGATGCAAAGCATCAAAGGGCGTCCAAGCAAGAAATGCAGCAAGTGAAGATGAACTAGTACACATATGATGACAAGATATTCTTATAAACTACCAGAAATGTATACCACTTATGAATGAGCGGACGAAAGACATTGTTCATTATGAACTTTGATTGGCATGCTAGAGATTAGAATATTACTTGTTATTTCTTTATGATCGTGGTTATTAATAGCAACGGATATACATGTATGCAATCATTTATAATCCATATGTGTAACGCATGATCAACACGTACCACACATTTGTCCCTTATTATGTTATCCATATTAGCGAAGACCCCCTTAAGGTATCTGTTCACACTTTAAGTTAGTAAAAATATGACACTGGTTATATTACCATGTTGATCATGTTGATCATAATTGTTTATTATACAATAATTGTAATATCTATTAATTTTAATTAAAAAAAAATACAAAATTTATGAAATATTGTTTTTCTTTTATTCTTTTTTGTGTTTTATGTGCTATTTTAAATACTGAGTTTTTACTACTCTTTTTTATGAAAATTGTAAAATAAATTTTAAGAATTCAAATTGTCATATTGACCGACGATTATAAGTCAAAGCTTAACTGGAAAAAGTCAGTAAATTATGGTTTATCTTTCAATATATAATATTGTTTATTCTTAAACCATGTACATGTACATTGTATTTTTCTTTATCATTTTTTTAAATTATCGATCAATTGAATAATTCATAAAATCTAATTTGTAACTTTGAATAATTCCTCGGCATCTTTACTCAACACGGATAACAAATTAAAATAATTAAATAAAATGTTTCAAAGTTGATAATGTCATTTTAATACCATAAAAATGTACCTTTTTTCTCAATTATTGTACATATCACGGATTTATATTACATATAAATCCGTGTACATATTTATTGTTTTTATCTCATATAGATAAAATGAAACATGCTATTGTTGTTTTTTTTTCTAATTGTAACGATATCAAAACATCTACTCCAAAACCAGGAGAGACTGGACAATAAAACCTGTGGTACTATTCGCCGGTCACTAGTAAATCCTGGTCAAAATAGACCGGGAGAGACCGGCATTTTACCGATAGGAGTGATAAATAGATATATCTATAAATAGGTTTTTGGAATATTTAGGTCATCAACTGATCATTCTAGGATACATGCTACAACAATAACATACCA